GCCATCTTCCGCAGCTTCTGCCCCATGGAGGTCACCTTTTTCCCTTTCGACTGGCAGAACTGCTCCCTCGTCTTCCGGTGGGTCGGGGGAGTGGAGGGGTGGGTGGGAGGGCAGCATCGCGGGCCTCCGGGCGGGGGGGGGGGGGGGGGGGGGGTGGGGGAAAGAGGGGGGGGGGGGGGGGGGGGAGGCCTGGCCTCCCCCCCCCCCCCCCGAGCCTCCTGGTCTTCTGCCCCTCCAGGTCCCAAACCCACAACATCCGGGAGATGGAACTCTACTACGGCATCGACGACAACACCAAAAAGCTGGCGGACTACATCATCATCGACAAGGAGGCCTTCACAGGTAGCGGGAGGGGGGGCGTCGGCGCTGAGGTGGGAAGCCGCAGGGCCTGGGGGCTAAGCCGCCAGCTGCAATGCCCGGGCCCTGCGTGTGTGTTTGTGTCCCTGTTTTCAGAGAACGGGGAGTGGGCCATCCAACGGCCCCCGGCCCGCATTGTCCTGGCCGCCACGGACGGGCTGGAGGCGCCGGGCTTCTCCGAGATCCACTACTTCCTCATCATCCAGCGTAAGCCCCTCTTCTACGTCATCAACATCATCGTGCCCTGCGTGCTCATTTCCTCCTTGGTCGTCCTGGTCTACTTCCTGCCTGCCCAGGGTGAGCGGGTGTGTGTGTGTGACTGGAAAGAGAGGAGGGGAGGAGGGGGGCGCCTGGGGCGGGGGGGCATCCTCACCGCTCTCCCCCCCACCTGCCCCGGCAGCCGGTGGCCAGAAGTGTACGGTCAGCATCTCGGTCCTCCTGGCCCAGACCGTCTTCCTCTTCCTGATTGCCCAGAAGGTGCCCGCTACGTCCCTCGCTGTCCCGCTCATCGGCAAGTGAGTGGCTGCCAGCCTGCGGGGCGGAGGTTGGAGGGCCCAGGAAGCGGGCCCCGGGGCCCACCCTCTGCCTCTCTCTCTCTCTCTCTCTCTGCCTCCCGCTGCCCAGGTACCTGCTCTTCGTCATGACAGTGGCCACCCTGATCGTCACCAACTGCGTCGTGGTGCTCAACGTCTCCCTGCGCAGCCCCAGCACCCACCGCCTCTCCCCCAGTCTCAAGCATGTGAGGAGGCATCCTTAACAACTCACATTTAGGAGGAGGTTCTTCTTAACGTCCAAGGCTTTGCAGATCCGAATGGTGGTGGAGTGGGGCCGGGGGGTGGGAGAAAGGGAGGCCAGGC